GAGCAGTATTAAGAATGAATAATTTCTGTAAGCAACACACATGCGCGATCCAATCACAATAATACTTTTTTTCTGCGTGGCCTAGAGGATCTGATGTGGACGACGCCTAGAGTTCGTCACACAGCTTGTGTAGAAAACTTTTAGATTTCTCTACATTTGTAAGTTGATTTCGACCTAAAGCATTGGGAATGCATTGTATTCAATGTTCAGGGTTTTCTATGGCCCTAAAGCTTTACAGTTTCTAGGCATTTTGAAAAGTTTTTCATATCAAGACATCCGTGTATTTAGGGAATTTTACCATTCATACTAGACTCGTGAGCATTGCGATGTACTGCAACAAATACATCATGTTCTCGAAGAAAAGTCCGAGTAAGACATGATTCACGAGTCCAGTGTATATAAAGACTTGGGAATTATCTAAAAAACTATTTGAGAAGTTAACTCGACCAGACCTGATTGAAAGAATAACCCCGACCACTTCAGTTTTCAATGAGTATTTGCACAAAGTGTAAAGAGGTGCATAAATAAAGCATTTCTAGATAACTAGAGAAACGACATTTATGCCATATATTGTTTGACTTTCAGACAGGGGATGACCCTCATAACACTTTATGAAATTTATTCAGAAGTCGGTTAACTATAAATGGGTATAATGGCAGTTCTTGCATACAATCCTAAGCTACCCGCTGGTGATGACCAGACTTACTTAATGATCGATTTCGTCGACTTTTTTATAGAAAGTAATTTCTTCGGAATGACAAAACATTCTGAACTTATAAATTTCATCCCACTGCAAAATTTTCAGCTCGGAGAAAATGGTCCGAAATATTTCTTTTACTTGAAAACAACTGAAAAAAGCGAGTTTTTGCTAAAATTCGTTAAAACAAGAAAAAATGATGAAGGAGATTGCTCGAGAGGTCAGAATTTTGTGGACATATGGAGTTTCATATGCACTATCGAAGAAACTTTGAACGCAACTCTAATATTTTATTGTCAAGTGAAAAAATGGACCTTAATTTTTGTCGAAATTACAATAAAACGCGTATATCTCCCATACGTTTCCGCGTTCTGAAGAGTTGAGATTCGGATAGAGCTCAAAATTCTAAGTATATAAAGACATTTTGAGCATATGTTTTTTTGGCTACTTGTGCCGATATTTGAAAGATTGAATAAATCTTACATAAAATAAGCACATGACATCACGTAAGCACTTACTGCAGGGGAAAGAAAAGAAAAAATTGTGTCTCTTCTTTTTACATATAATTTAGAACGGTAAAAATAAAATACTTGGCTCTGTAATTACCATAACCTTGTTATTCAAAATAAAATTTATATTCATGACCTCGATGAAAATCTGAATCTAATTGTATAGAAATTCGATTAGTTTTCTGTCGCTTTTTTCTTAGATCTCTGAGAGAGCAGCATACTTCTGCGGCATCGTTTTACTTCTTTCCCTTTTGTTAGGTATTCACCAATGAGAAAGCAAGATCCAACATGTGTTCTCTCAACCGTTATTTTGTGCAATTTATTTTCCGCTAAAAGAAGTCAACAAAAATCGCACAGACTGCGTCGCCATCAGCGAAAACTTAAAATCAAATTATAAAATTTATGGCGTCGGCATATTTATGTAGTCTCATGCACAAAACTCAATTTTATGGTTATTCTGACCGCCGTGCAAAAAACGCCTATTTTTCGAAAGACAAGAAAAATGCGAAGAGTAATAGGAACCTTAGTGAATGTACTTCACGACAGGCACCCAATTACTTGCATTTTTCTCAGGTACCTATGCAGATACCCTGCTACAGAAATGTCATAGGTACTAGAATTTTTCTGAAGTAAATATTACTTGAGCGCTACCCAATTACTTGCAGTGACCGAAAACAATAAAACCGAAAGTATAAAATCGGTGGGTACGAGAAAAGAAGCAAAAAGGACACTAAGGCAGTTAAGGTACAATTTGAAGGTACACACTTATACAGAGACACACACACAAGAATCAGATAAAAAGACAAAAGAAAGAAACAGTTTGAGTTGAAGGGAACAAAAACGTAAACGGAAAATTAAAATGTTTAAGGCCGGGAAGGAGTTTTTTAGAAAATTTTGCAGTTGTCTGAGGCGATTATCACCTCTTTGTACACGAGGCACGCTAATTAGCACTTTTGGAATAACTAACGGAGATAGAGATTTGAGGTTTTCAGCAATCGAAAGAAAACAGTTTTGCGTATGTTTTCTTGAGCAAAAGCAAATTTTTTGTATTTTTAACCCTGAAGATCGAATTGTATGAAGTCGGGTTTACGAGATCAACATTAGGAAATTAAATTTGACATCTTTTTGTTTCTAGACTCAACTTTGGAAAACACGTCCTTCACAGTGAAATAGCGAAAAGTAGTCCGAGTTAAGTAGTGTGAAGACCACTTTATATTCGAAGTTTTTGCAGTTTATATCTGCTTTTTAACTTTTCTAAAGTAGAAGTAAAGCAAAAAAATAACTAATTTACGTAGTAAGTACACGGCAGTTGCAGTGAATGAGAGAATAGGGACATATAAATGCTTTTTATTTTACTCTTGCACAGTTGGAATTTTTCTTCAGACGTGTTGGGTATATCAGAAACGAGTCTTCTTTCTCAGAAAATATCCAAGGACTTCTGTGTTTGTTTCTCAATCGATGTTTGCTTTGCAAAGGTCTGCACAGAAGTGAGAAATGTATCAAAGGTTGATGCTTTTTATAACAATTGTGAGTATCTTCGGTGTAAGATCGCTTTGCTGTTAGTGACTCTCAGGATGTAGCAGAGATCAATTCGGTCCTGCTTGATGCACAGAGGATTGAGGCTCAGCCGTTCCGCCTCATTCACAGGACATTAGATTGGCTCTAATAACGAACTGATCCTAGCGATAATATCTTCGGATATACATTCTGTGAAAGTTGAAGCATGAATGTTTTCTTCACATACGGTAGGCGTTACCTTATCGGTAATATTCACACGCGAACCATGAAACATCAACCGCTCTCACTTTTATTTTGAGATCAAATGCCAGTTATATGTCGAACCATAATTGAGAAGTACATGGGAGAAAATCTGAGACTGAAGCTGTTTTAGAAATAACAATCAAAATTTTTCTAAAAGTTCAAAAAGCTGTTAGCACGATTTCTATGACAAGCAGAGAGCGTATTTACAAATAAAATTGCTGTGTACTTACTTTAAGCTCAACCTCAAAGCAATTCTGAGGTGAATGATTCACCTTGATTGCATTATGTTCCGAAGAGAAAGCTGGGTAAAACATGGTGAAATCATTATGTGAATTACCTTATGAAACACTTTATCTTGAGAGATCCAAAAAAAGAGGTAAAAAGAGGTTTCTCTTTTAGCTTAGAGAAGTAAAATAAGATGAATTGAATGAATTTGTAGAAAACAGCGTTTTTGTACAATATTTTTGTATAATAAAAACGTTCAACTTAATTATGTTGATCTTCTTCATTGTCCGATGGATCTTGATCATACTCTTCGTCACCAACAACGTTCTCATTGCTGCCAATATTTTCTTGTTTTACTTCATGATCATTATAGTTTTCCTCATAATCTTGTGTTTGTTGTTTTTCTGCTTCTTCATTCCACTATATTGCTGCAGTGTTTTTTAAGTCAATCTCTTCTAATATCTCGTCGTAATTGTGTTCTTGCGTTGTGTAACAATTAAATAAATCTTGAATTGTTTATAATTTGGTCACTTAATTCAAGTGTATCTTTTATAGCACCTAAAAACAGTGAAAAATAACATATTAGAGCTATTATCAGAGAAAAGAATTATTAGACTTACCAACGATTACAGGAAATCTTACATCTCGCTCTGGTAAATGTTGACCATTAAGAATTTCTTGTTCTGTGCACACTTTTTTTATCATTTTCCGCATATTGGACGTTGCTGATGTAAATGCATGTCGTAGTTATGTTAGATCAGCATTTTCATAAATCTGTAAGTGAAAGAATTGATTAGGTATTTTCATCTCTGTACGTGTCACCTAACATACCAAATCTTCTTGTTATTCTGCATTTGTTCTTGGTGAAGAAGGGGCAAGAGGCGAAAAGCTGGCTACATCTCGGACTAATCGTATACCCTAAAGCAAAATATGAGTGAATACTTAACGATGTCTTGTCTGATTTGAAATTTATTTACAATCTTAATTTGCTTCACACATTTTAACAATGGCTTGAATTTTTTATTTTGAGCTGTCATTTCTGCCTTCGCTTCTGTGCCCTGAACGTTGGCCAAATCAACATATCTTATTTTTTAAAAAGAATTGTCAAATTTAAAACGACGTATGTTATAGAAAAATTTATATAAATACCTAGTGTTTTTCCTAATGATAAATCAGGGTTTGAATATTCATCACCTGCTGAAGGCAGTACATGATAAAACATAATCAGCGACAACGTTTTGACCGTTTGACAAATTCGGTAAACTTGTTGGTTGAAAATTGTTATTGCACAATGAACAAGCTTTGAACGTACATTTCTGATTCTTATCATTACAAACCATTACCGCAGTAAAATCTTGTAAAGATAAACAAACTTTACCTTTAACATATTTAACTAATGACAAATTTGGTAAATTCTATTTTATTTCATTGAGAATAAATACGATAGCTGTATAAACAACAAACTTGTTATGACTAATATCCAATATACACAGTGGGCAATTTTGGCTAGAGCAGGCGGACATGTGCTATTAATTCAATAATAACTTTTGATAGAAAAAAGCTGGAGAGCTCCGGTTTTCGCCATTCGAAAGAGCAGACTTGAAGGTATGTCTGTCGTGCTTGTACCACCAGTTGTACATGAATATTTATTACATTTACATTTATTATATTTACACAGTACTACACAGTCCGTATAGTATGTTGTTTTGGGTATAGAATAAGATACCTCCTCCTTGTCAAGCATTAGAAGGTCGGCTGTTCGTTCCACACTGAACCAAATTAGATACAAATTGGGGGCCAGATACAAAACTTCTCGGTGAATCCGACAGCGGGTTCCTTGTAATTTCATTTTGAGTTCTTCTCTGGTGTCGACATAATCAACGGGGTTTTTGTCTAAAAAAGGCGCCAATGAGAAGAATAAAATTTAGGTAAAAACCAAGTAGATTATGCTGACGCCGAAGAAGTTAAAATGAAATTAAAAGGAACTAGCTGATTTTCTGACAGATTTTCAGATAAGCGGTTGGCAAAAATTGGATGTATATCCCCTAACGGGGTGTCTTCAAAGGCTTCAGTCCACATTTGATGAAATTTGGAGCCAAACTTTGAGGTTGTAGGTACATAAGTGAAAT